TGCCAGTTTGGTGAAACTCGATATCATGCTCTGTGGTATAAAACAGAATGTGTTGTGGCAACACTTCATAACACGTGCATAAAAAAACCATCCTGAAAGTTGATGGCTTAAAAGAAGAGGGTGGGTGGATGGTGTTTTGTTTATTGTATTTGGAGTGGTGTCTATTGGTGGACAAAGAGCTGTAAAGAGCCACATGCAGTATCTTGGGCACTGAAAAGATCGTTGATGCTGCATACAATCATGAGTGCTTTTTATGCATCGCGCGCTTTCAGATGTGCTTCTGCGGCCGTCTGGAACGCTCTTCCTTCGGATATTAGGAATCCACTGGAGCTGTGCACTTTTGAACGTCGATTGAACCACTCACTTCTTTAGAACTGATAGTTGTGTATTTCGTTTGTTGTCCCCCCCGCCCTGTGCCGCACCTCCGTTTATCGCAGTTGGCTACGTACGGTGCAAAATAAAGTTCAACACGCATACAAAATAGCTCACCATCACAAGCTGCAGAGAAAATGTATTTCAGTTTTAGAAATGATTTACATGAACACCGTTTTTGCCTCTAACAGCATTCTTATAAAAGATCAGTGAAGGTAGGAGTTTAATGGCGAACAGCTCTGTATGTCAAAGACATTTCCATGAGTTTTTTTTCCTGTAATATTAACTTCATATGTTTGAGATTTTTGGTCAACTTGTTTTTTTTTTACACTGCCATTACAGCAGGTGGTGTGATTTGCCAATTTCTCTGAGAGAATGGAGGGTCAGTGTGAAAAATCACACCAACAGCCCTGTTTAAACTGACCCAATGGTGAGAACACTGACAGCCAACTGGATGACAAAGACCCCCCCCCCCTTCCCCCGCCATACAGTATAGCCTTAACATACTTTTGGGGAAAGTGCTGTTAGCAAGTATCATCATCCATCCTCCGCTCTATCAATGTGTCCTACCCAAGCCCACTTCCGTTGAAGGGTTATTGCGTGTGTTTTGGTATGACTGTGGGTGTCTCCTTGTCTCTGCGGATGTTTCCGTGTCTCTCTCGGTGTCACCTTGTCTATGTGTGTGTGTCTGTGAATCTGTAATTTGATACCGTTTTCATGTAGACATCTGGGACAGGTCCCGAACAATAAGAAGGAATAAGACCGTGCATAATGAGTTTTCATGGACCCTACTGCCCCTCGCGACGAATCGGAGTTGCGGGTTATTTGGTCACGGATAATAGTTATTGTATATATTGTCCATTTGTTTCACTCGGCCAGCAAAAGCTTTTGCCCATGAACAGTGCTGCAAATATCTTCCAGCAAACTGAAATGAAGACAAAGAGACTACCCCGGGCTGACTGAATGAGCTGTGATTTCGCAACGTAACACAAATCAAGGCTGTACAAAAATCACCAGTTCGCACGACCTCTCAATGGTCACAAGATGCCGAAACTTAAAGACCTAAAGTGGTGGGGCATGTGTTAAAAAGTACTTGGTATAATACGCTGCTTGGATCATGTTTGGAAATAGTAACGTTATATATGTGTTTAAAAGTGATAGCAAAAGTATCCTTAAATGTGTGTTTTTATGGCTGTTATTTTTTTACTCTTTGGTTCTTTCGGTAAAGTCACGTAGAAAATAAAATCAAATAAATATTTTCTACGTGACTTTACCGAAAGAACCAAAGCTTCGAATCTAGTTTGTTCTTTTTTTGTTCGGCAAACGTACAATATAGGCTTATTAAATGGTAAACCGGTACCCGTTTACAGAATCGATTAGCACTTATGACAGTCAGGAACTGGTAATTGTTTGAATGTTCATGATGAATGCACTGAATGGCCCCCGTGAACGTTCAAACGGCAAAGGCGCGGCTGAAGTCACCACGTGGTAAATTCGTCAACGTTTTTCAGTTGAAAGGCAAAGATGTAACTGTGCAGTTGCCTGCTATGCTCACTCCACTGCTGGCGGAAAGGGCCACCACGAGAGTGATCTCTGCAGGGTACTTGGTCTACTCATCCATGCCTAGCCAGACATCTTGGAAAATATAGGATTACCCACACTTTACCCCACCGCACACGTGGCATTCCGATCAATTAACTTTGGTATGCAATTAGACTTTTGTTAAAATTAGTGTTCGGCACAGATTTGGAACACGTTCCACTACAAGGAATTGTAACGGGTCATGGTGGCAAGTGAGCTTCTCATGTGTTGAAAGAGAGGGGAGTGTAACCACAATTGACCACACACGACCTGCCGATCAGCTACCCCATTATTCCCCTGGGTGTAGACAGATTTAAGAAAATTGCACCAATGTTTCAGAGGATTGCCAGTTTGGCGTGCTCACCATGACAGTTCCCTTTCGTTTCTAAGTTTAAAAGGCAACGGTGTTATTTTTTTATATTTCCAGAGATTTCTGTGCATGCGGGCAATTAAACCGAGAGCTGGTGTTTTTTTAGGTGATTACCGGTAATGCAACAACAATAAAAAAGGATTTTATTCCGATCTACTTTTACAGATCAACATCTATCAGCTTCATGTTTGATTGTTTCACACAGATTAACCTTTTTTTATAGTGGTTTACGAGTTCAGTGGTGCTGTGATTGATATATCCTCAAAGTGGAGAAGCTTCTAATTATACACCCTTTTTTTCACCATTTATTTATTTATTTTAAAAATGCACATGTTCTATTGAATATAAACCTCTTATACGGTGTAAATGAAGCCTGCACAAAAGGTAAAATAAAATCAGCTTTCGAGATGCCTATATGTAATGCCTCGATTGATGCTGGACAGGTTCCTGGAGCATTAAATTTTGTGGGTGAGCAGCGGCGGTCTGTGTGCTCAAAACGCTCTCTCAATTTCGCTCTACCCATGACGTGTGCTCGTAATCACAGGGCCAGCGAAAACTACAATGTGCGGTCAATCTTCCGCACCTCCAGCTTCAAGCTGACAAAGCGTTATTTTCAGGATATTTGTTCTTGCATATTTCTCATCAGATTGTGAAAGCTCCTGGAGCGTAATTCACAATACTTGGCCAAATACGGTGTGATCTAACTGGATGTACAATCGACACCAAGGCTTACTAATCTACAAAACTCATTCGTCAGCATTTGTTTCCGTTGTTTTCTCTTTGCACTCTAGTTCAGATGGCAATTTTTGTCTTGTAAATACCTTACTTCAGTAATTACTGCAGCAGTGCAATAATAATAATACAAAACAGTATTTCAGAACCACGGCGTGAATGGTGAAGCAGTAGCGTGACTTCTAAAAATTAGATTAACATTCGCTGTCAATTCTCACCAATGTGACCTGTATACGCAGGAGCCACCTCAACATGCCCTCCTGCCAAGTGCAATTCTACATACTTTGAATGCAGCACTGACTTCTACCGCTTGCGTGTTGTGTATTTGGTAAGCCAAGTGGCTCTGTCATTCTGATTAATTGTGTTTATGAAGAAACTAGACCTCAGGACTAACCTTTATTTCTGTATACATTTTGACCATTTATTTATTCATTCGTGTGTGGGCTTTTTTTACGTGCGATGTCTTCCATGCATTTTGATCTCCGTAACAGCATGGAATATAGCACAACTGTTAGGCTTCAGGCGATGGCCTTCGTACATGGGTGAATAATGTAAGCTGGGAAATAACCGAGTACAGTCCTGCCACAATCACACGTATACGGTCAATCAGTTTGTAATGGCAATGCTGTGGTGACATTGGGAGCATAAAAGCAGTTTTTTTCTCCATTACCTGTTATATTTTGGACATGACTCATTGTTGTGCAGTTGTATTTTACTGAGAGAGCCATTTCCAAAGCAATGAGAGATGGGAAGGTACAGAACACAGCATCATGAGTTACACACACACACAGTCATTAAGCGAATACAAATTATAAACAGTGGTCAAGTGGTTGCTTTCAAAGGCCATAACAGGCTTGCACCCTTTAAATGTTTATTTCAATTATGTGTTCATTGGCTTGATACGTAATGTTCTCCGCAAAGACGCTTATTATTTTTGTGTTTATATACATATAGTTGTTGTGTCGAACTAAGGCTTATTTCTAAACATCTATAAGTTCACCAGTGTTGGTTTAAATGATGAGACACTGAATATGAAAACTGGTCCAGAGTTTGCGTGTGTTGAGCCAATGCTGCTGAATTAATGCACTACCAGAAAGCAATGTGGCTGATTGGATGTGTTAAGAAAAATACTCTTATCTTTACGTGGAGGAGGGAGAGGCGTGTTCTCTGATTATTACATTTGTTACTGTAGTATACAAGGTCATTACTGTATTTATGTGCAAGCGTGGATGTGTGCTGCTTTCTTTGTGTGGCAGGTGAGAAGTTGTTAATTCTGCTGTTTTGAGAAGTGGCGTAGTTTTCATGTCAATTCGACCATGGAAATAAATAGGCGCATTATCACACATGCATGGATTCATTAAAGCCAAACAATTGCCTGGCATGCAGTAAAACATAAACTTTTAGATTAACAGTTTGTGTAGTTTTTGCGTGAATGTCCGAAGTTCTTATCATAGTTACAGTCATTTTGGTGATTATACATATTTGCCATTTCATTGCGTAGCCATAAAAATCTTACTGTGCAGCTCTTGATTTAATTAATTCATTAAACATGTTGGCATACATATTTATATGTAATGTGCATTTGCTTATGTCTCCGTGTTAAAGCTTGTATAAATGCAATTGGTGAATGTGGTAAAATGTTACCTTTTTGTCAACAGAATGACCATCAAAGGGTTTTACGATGACATTGATCGGTCGACCTGGATACCTTGAAGGGGGTAAACATTTTCTTTGAGAAAACACGGCATTGACTATTGTTTAAGATTATAACCAAGACCTTTTTTTTACCAACAGCAATGCCATTTTAAGTCGGTCGGTGCATTAACATGTCTTCGACATTCGTTGCTCGGGTTACATTACAGCTGACTGTCGCCATCCCGGGATTGGGCCACATGCTAAAATAACCCGAAATAAAATAGTGATGAAACCTGTGTGTAATTTTCAGACCTGAACATGAAGCCTCCGGAGGGGCCAGGGGAGATGGGAAAGGCGGTGTTGATTCCCAAGGAGGAGCACGAGAACATGCGAGAGCTTTTCAAGATCAATCAGTTCAACCTTCTGGCGAGCAAGCGCATCGCTCTCAACAGGAGCCTCCCTGATGTGCGTCTGGAGGGGTGAGTCATTACCATCGTCACACTTAATAGGCACCCTACGTCTGTTTAACGTTACTCTAACTTGGTTTGTAATTGTCCTGTGTATGATCAGTCTGAAAACAATCTGCTCAAACCGATTTACGTTACGGGAAAGGGGTTTTTTTGCATTGATTTATGTTTGAGCAATACATTGCATTTCTCCTGTGACATGGTTGTTTTTGTTGTTTTCTGTGTACTTCATTTAAGGCACTTTTATTTTATTTCTTTTGATTTTGCCATTTTTCTGGCAACAGGTCACTCTTGAAAATGAGACTACCCAGGTCTCTTGTGATCTCACCTGTTTAAACAAACAAACAAACTTGACTTGACAGTTTCTCCATCGTAAACATGTTTAACTCTCAGTGCTTCTCTTTACTTGGAGTTCTTGCCTTGAGTGAACACCCTGGATTAAATTGAACGAGGCCACAATGCCGAGATTATTTCCCCCCGCCCCTCCCCCCTTGTAAGCAGGGTGATCCTGTATATAATCCTTTATTAATACTCAATTGGCATTGCATATAGCAATCCTCACCTCCTACTGGCAGATTAATAACCAGTTGCAGGCCAGGTGCTGAGTCACCGTGTCCCACACAGGGATAGCTAACTACTCGGGGTGGGGGGGATACCCTTTCAGATGTTTGAGAAGTGATGTAAGTCGCATATCGTGATTCAAGCACTCTGAGATCCCCCAGTGTAAATGGTGCCTAGCAAACACAAATACTCATTATTATTATCATCCACGTATACCCCACGAAAATAATAGGAATAAATAAGTGAACTTATTTGTATTTAGTCTTAAAACTTTAATGACTGCAGGAATTCATACTGGTAGGAACCACCTGGTTCCACCAGCCCACAGGGGATTATTGTGTCCGTCCGTCGTGCATCCAAAAATGGGAGGGGTGGGGCTGGGTGGAGAGGAGAGGGTGGGGAGGGGCTGGTAGGGGAGGGGCTGGTGGGGAGTGGAGCGTGGGGAGGGGCTGGGTGGGGAGGGTCAGGCTGGGTGGGGGGTGGGAGGGGTGGGACTGGGTGGGGGGTGGGAGGGGTGGGGCTGTGTGGGGCTGGGTGGGGAGGGGCTGGTCACCCCGTGGTGCCCTTATAAAACTCAACGTTTAACCTACTCTCGTCGGCTTGTGCCCGCCCTCACAGTCGGCCATATTTGCGGAATACACCACGCCGCCATTGACCCTGGCCATTGAACGAGCAACCCAACGTTCCTACCAGCTCCCTCCGCAGGAATGTGTTATTCTTGGTTCTTTCGGTAAAGTCACGTAGATAGAAAACAAAAATCTAAATTAAAAGCAAAAATCCCACGACGTTTCGATCGCAACACAAGCGGTCTTCAGGTGGAGAGAAAAGAGGGGGCAAGCCTCCAAATGTAGCTGCTTTCAGGGCTCCAGAGTGAGTGGGCGGGGGAAAGGGCCGCGCCAGAGACCGGGGGAGAGAGATGGGGGGGGGGGTAGAGATGGGAGGAGGGAGGAATTGCACCTCGGTACACCCATCAGACAATGGGGGGGGGGGGGGGGGAATGGGGCAGAGACAGGGGGAGAGAGAGGGGGTGAAGTAGAGATAGGGGGGTGGGGGTAGAGATGGGAGAAGGAGGATATCTGCCTGAGACATTGCAGCCATTCACTAGTAATGCTATCGCTTCTGTTCTTAACTCAGCTCACCTGGTATTAAAGACATCTCACTGTCCCCAGGTGATTTGCTCGTTAGTTTCGATGTAGTTTCTCTGTTCACCAAAGTTCCTGTGCCCGATACCATTGCAATAATTGAAGATTTGGTCCAACAAGGACTGAATGCTGATGTAACAGCCCCAGTGAGACACTGCCTCACCAATACATACTTCACCTGGAATGGAACATTCTACAAACAAACTGAGGGCATCCCAATGGGTTCTCCCTTATCTCCGGTTGTGGCCATTGTTTTCATGGAAAAATTTGAGACGGATGCCATCCAGGCATCCACTTTACGCCCATTCTTGTGGAAGAGGTACATGGATGACATGTTTGTCATCTGGCCACATTGCCGACCGGCTCTGAAACAATTTCTCAACCACATCAATTCCATACACCCAGCAATCAAATTCACCATGTAGGTAGAAAAGGATTGTATGCTACCGTCTTGGATGTCTTAATCAAAAGGAGACCAGATGGCTCAATGAGCCACTCTGTCTACAGGAAAGTAACCCATACTGACGCCTACCTAAAACCTGATTCCCACCACCGTCTATCCCAGAAGAATTCCCTCATCAAAAGGCTACACCATAGAGCCATCAACCCAACCGTGAGGAAGGAGCCATCTGAAGATCCAATCAAAACCGTCACCTTACCTTACATAGCAGGGATAATCCAAAATATTTCCAAAATCTTGAACAAACACAAGATCCAGATCCGACACAGTGCACAACATTCTTGACCTGATCCTATCTGTGAAAGACAAGATTCCTGACATGCATTATCCCGACGTCTACAAACTATGCTGTACCTGTGGCAGCAGTTACATTGGGGAAACCAAACGACATGTTTCGGACCGTGTTCGTAAACACAAGGCAGATCTAAAACACGGCAGGACCAATCCTTCTGCCGTAGCTGATCATTGCGTTAATGCGGCTGGCTCACATGCAATTGATTTCTTTAAGACGATGGTACTTTGCAAGCCGACTGGCTATCAACAAAGATTCGTTCGCAAAGCCATCCACGACGGTTTTAAACTCAGCAATCATTGGAAAGATGTCATCAACCACTTTGGGTCATATAACTTGAATTTGTGTTTCCTTGTCAACCTCTACCGTCAGCAGTGTGGGTGGGTGTAGCAAGGTACAATGCCCCCCCCCATCTCTACCCCTCCCTCCCCATCTTTCTCCCCCTGTCTCTTGCACAGCCCTTTCCCCCGCCCACTCACTCTGAAACCCTTATAAGCAGCGACATTTGGAGGCTTGCCCCAGCTTTTCTCTCCACCTGATGCAGACCGCTTGTGTTGCGATCGAAACGTCGTGGATTTTTTTGCTTTTAATTTTGATTTTTGTTTTCTATCTACGTGACTTTACCGAAAGAACCAAGAATATTTTAATTGAAAGTCACTCCATGTCATCCATCAATCTCAAAACACATGATGCATATTTTAACAGTCCTGAAATACTTTTTCCCCACCATAGCTGCTCAGATTTGCTTATATGATGCGTAGGCTGAGGTCATTGACATCTTCTGCTTCCTCTTACGTATGACAAATGTGTGCAAGTAATATGTCTAGGTTTAAGTTTGTGAGCCATGTGATAGCTTCTGGAGTAGCACGAATAATTCTATGTCCAGTCCGCCGGAGAGCAGGCATACAATGATGCAATCGTTCACGATACGGTCCATTGTTTGGTTCGGATGGCCGCAGTCACGTATCTAAGAGGGTCATCATAAATCAGTCGTGTATCTATAAATGGATCACCCTGGATATTTATAGTTTTTTACTAACAAGAGAGGAAAATCAAATCAACTAGTCATGGGTACTAAATCAAAATAAAGTGACATGTTCATTACTCAGAAAAAAACACATTTTTTATGTGTTAATTGTGTAGTGTGATTTTCTAAACTTCTGCAGTGCTACAATATACAGCACCAAAAACTAAGATGTTTTAATAGTAACATAACAATAGTATCCAACCCTTAAAAAATGCTTTTCAAAAAATATTAAACATAGCTGCAGTGGAAAAGTCAATAACGGAGTTTTTTTATGGTAGCCTCTGAATTATAGCATCTTCAAAATGTGATGTTTCTTTGGACAGTTCAATGCATTCCCGTTATATATTTCAAACAGACACACAACCTTTATTTCTTACAAATAGGTTTGAGACACATAAATTATATTATCGATATTATTGAAAATATTTTTTTATATAGTGCCTTTCATAGGATCAAGGAATGATGGAAAATAAAGTTGCATGTTTTAAAATAAACATCGGTTATCATTTTACTAAATCTACCAAGTACCGATTTATCTTACCCATGTTGAAAAGCCACCAAAACGCACACCCTCTCGCATCATCATCAGCCATGGTCTATCAACTACTGGATGAAGGCCTCGACATGTCGTCGCCATCTCTCATAGTCGGCTCAATCCTGCACATGAGTAGGTTGCATCCCTCCATCTCTGTGGTGGTCATCCTCTCCGTCAAGGCTCTGCTCTCAGGGTGATCAGGCTTTTGCCGGTGCAGCTTCCAAGCTTTGGAATGCTTTGCCTTTGCAAATAAGACAGAGTCGTGAGATATATTAAGCCTGTCTTGAAAACTTACTTCTTTAAATTGGCCTTCACGCCCTTGTTCTGGACACTTACCCTGGTTCTGTTTATTTCCTGCTTTTCACACATGGGTGCATTGGGATCTACAGATGAAATATGCCTTACAAATGTAAATTATTATTATTGTTCTCTGCTTTGGCTGCCACTTCAACAGTCGCATGCATCAGCGATCGGCCCTTCGAGCAATTGGTCGTGTCCAAGCCCAATTAATTCCCTTAACAGTGAATATGTATTTCATTTGCATTTGCTGTCTGATCTGTGTTCCTTTTTTTTCTTTATTAGCACCACTCCATGCTTCTATGTTGTACTCTTCAGTTTGTATTTAGTTTTGTCAGCATCCATGTTTGTTATCCAAATGTATTCGTGGGTAATGTGTAGTATTCTAAAAGCACTCAATTATTTTGATCATTTTGATCCAGAGCCACTCTTCAGTGACTGCACTCGATATACTTGAGGGGAACTCCATTATTCCGTGATGATATGGGAGGACATTGGATTGCCTCTCCATCTGTCTCTCCGTTTGTTTCTTCACATCTCCGTTTGTCTCCTGAAGTGTATTTTTGCTATTAGCTGCCTTAATTTTGCCTGTAATTAAATTTGACGTTTCTTTGGCAATGTTGTTGAACTGTAACTTGCATCCGTGATCACTTCCCATGTGGACTTTCTTGAGGACATCTCTGACAATCTGAGTTATG